TATTAATGTTGGTTTCATTTAAATACATAAAATGCTGTAATCATGAGTGGCTTTCAAAATATATTGACAAGCATTCCAGCTCAGGTCGTGTTTTCCCATTCTGTTTCATTCTAGCCAAAACTTTATTGAAACTTAACAAAGGTTTATAAGCTTAATTTAGACTTAATTTGAATTGGACAAAGAAAAACAAATTATTCAGAAAATCATGAAGCATTATCTTGGATTTTCACGCACTCACTTTTAGATCCAGAAAGTCCCATACCATTTGATTTGGGAATTGCTCACTGTTCGAACAAGTAATACTTCCAAAAAGAGGTTTAGTGCAATATTTTATTTTTCATCTCACTTCACCGAAGTAAAATCTAAGAAAAAAAATACCTTGGTTGTCATAAGTGGTGATTCCAAGACAAGAGCTTACCTTCAGATTTGTCTTCTTCAGCAGGTGGTTTCCAAGATATTGGAGCTGGTGAAGATAGGCAGGGCAATTTGGAGGAATTGTGGGAGATTTTACAGGTCTTAGAAGGATGCATAAAGTTGACACTGACATTTTACTGACTTAGCTCAAACACAAAGTCAATCCTACTTGCAACAGAAATACAGTTTAACTGTGGGCCATTAAGAAGGGACTTGGTCATCAACTCCACAATATTCTCCTGACCATTCCATAGGCCTCCTTCCAAAATTATAAAGTGCAAGAAAAGACTTATGTAATTCATTAACAAGCACACATATCATCAAACAACAGAAACTTAAAATCCTTTCAAAAGTTTAATTCACTAAGTAATACGGCTGTCAATGCAATTAAAATTGAATCAAACTAACACTGGATTTGTAAGTAACTTTAAAATTGGAAAGTAGGGCCTCCCTGACAGTGCAAGGGGTTGAGTCTCAGAACTATGAAGCTATCACTCCTGTCTCATCCACTGTACCCCTCAGCAGTGTATTTCAGTCAATCCACCTGTTCTGCTACCCCTCTGTCTATGGTGAATCTCTCATCCCTTACTCCTCCGGCCTACAGACCCCAGCTCTTGTATACATAAATAAATAAAATAAATATGAAAAAATTGGAAAGTAAGTTGCAGGCATTAACTTCTTGCTAAAAGGTGCTTTGGAAAAATAATCATTGATTTATTCCATAAATATTTATTGGTTGTCCGCTATGTCCAAGCATCCATTTGTACTAGTGTTAAAAATTTTGTTAACATTGGGCCTCCCCGGTGGCCCAATGATGAGTGGGCCCAATGATGGTGGCAGCGGTTGAGCTCTGGGTTGCAAAGCTGCCTGTTGCCTCTGCAGCGCCGGTTCGATCCCCGGCCACCGGGTGAAGGTCCCACATGGCGTGCAACTATCTCCTGCCTCCTGCTGCTCCCCTCAGCAGTGTGCTTCAGTCAGACTGCCTGCTCTCTGCTCTCCCCTCTGGCTCTGGTGAATCCTCTCACCCTCCCGCGCTTCTGACTGCACCCAGTGCTTGTATAAATAAAAATAAAATAAAATCTTAAAAAAAAAAAGAATATTATAAAAAAAAAATTTTGTTAACATTATTTTTAATTGTTTAGGCTTACCATATACTGATAGCACCTGAGAAGTAATACAGTAGTAAGTTTTTATTCTTCTCTTTTATATAAGATGGATGGAAGAAAAATGACATTTCATTAACAAAAACCTTTATTAATAAGGTAACTTTTCTTTTATGGTGTAATTAAAATGACAGTTGGTCTTGCCTGATTACCTGTCCAAAGAATGTAAAGATGCCAACACTTTTTGGAGAAATTTAATCCTTTATATTTATTTCAAATATTTTCAGTGAAGAACATCATTTATTGAAATTTGATTTTTAATTCACTCTTAGAGTTTAAAACCACAGTACATGGGCAATATGGTCCTAACTTTTGAAAAACATAAAAGTATCTTTAGAAAATGGCAACATCATGCATATTGAAAACAGTTATGTGCAGTTATTTACAGTTATTATCACAGTTTTATTTACTTGTTTGATTTTTTTTAAGCAGCATAAGGTTGTGTCATAAACACACTAAACATTTCACAGAAATTTAATGACTTTATCAAGATTCCTTCATTGATTTCATTAACCTCATGATATGTGCCTCTAGTTAACATTTGTTGATATTATTTTTATTTTGTAATTTTCTTGTTGGAATCGAGAAACAGTGAAGCCTTATACCACATGGTGAGAACCAACTCAGTCCAAGGAGCTCTAGTATATTTACTGAAAATCAAAATTGTAGAACCAGGCAAGGGCGGTTTCTGAGGAGTAGCAGAAATAGGAAGATAAAGACTTAAGATATTTCACACAGACATTAAAATAAAAAGATCTTTAACAAAAAGGCATTGGCATATAATTCCTGGTCTCAGGCCAGAGTTTTTTAGTAACCTTATTCCAGGTAAGGGAGATATCTATGTTTTTTTTCTTGTTAAATATGAAATCAAGTATGAAAAAGACAAGATTTGTTCTCTTTTTCCTTTATTACCAATTCTTGACAGTTTCTGTTGTGTGCTTTGGAGAACTTAATGAGAGAGACAGTTGTTGTTGTTGTTGTTGTTGTTGTTTTTCAGGAAAGCCTACCCTATATAGAATATTCCATTGTATATATCATAAATCTGTAAGTGTATCATGTATGTTATTATCTTTGTTTATATTTGTGAAGAATATATTTTGAGTGGGATTTAGGGCTATAAATCTATTTCTATTTTTCAAATAGGAAGCCAAGAGAAAATGGTTGGTAAATTATAAAACATAATGGTTACCATTTTGTAGCTAAGGTATCTGAGCATTACAACACAGACTTCCACAAGTATGTACATACATATGTACCTAAGCAATTACCATCTGGATTTGTCAAATGTCTACAATCTACAATCAACTAGATCAAATACTTCGTTTTAATGCAGGACTTTGCAAGTATTATTTTGAGTATGTTTTGCTATAGTCAGAAAATTAGGCAATAAATTCTATACATTTAATAAAGGAGAACAAGAACAGAGTTGAGGGAAGTTAATTTGAAAAACTTTGCTCTCCCACTTCCCCCGAACATACACACTTACTATGGGCAGCTGATTTGTTAACCCATCATGACAGCAAGACTCAAAGATGGTCCTTGATAATTCCCACCCTCTGGTATTCAGACCATGAGCTCGTTGTTTTCTCAGTGAACACAACTGACCTGGACAACCAATTAAACATTGCAGAAATGATGGTGTTTGGCTTCCTAGGCTAGGCCACCAAGGATAGTTTTACCTCTACCTTTCTCTTTTGTATGTCATTCTCTCTAGAAGTCAGCTACCAAACCCAGCTCCTATGTACCATACTATCCAGCAGTTCTATTGAGAGGTAGGTAGGCCCAGGACTTTAGGCCTCCTGTGAATATCAGTCCAACTTGCCAGTCACATCAGTTAGCCAGCTTGGAATAGCATTCTCTAGACCCAGAAAAGCCTTCAGATTCCTGCTTGCTTGACTGACATCTTTACTATGCCTCCCAAGAGGCTTTGAACCAGAACCGTTGGGCATCATTGTATGGGCAAAACCTAGGAAGGAAAGGACATTCTGGACTGAAAGGTGTCATATTTGCCTAGAATATAAATTTCACTCTGTGGTTTCAGATTAAAAACACCTGGAAAGATCAGAACATTATGAATGATTAGATAAGAAGGAAGATTTGAATGCAGTTCAGATTTCCCAGGCTCTTCAGAAGATGGGACAACAAAGATTACCCCAGCACACATGTCTGTCCTCTCTTTGACTTGCTTCAACTTATCACAGATCCAAGTTGGATAATGTCTTTGAATGGGATGTAAATAAAGAGGCATTGACTTAACACTCACTTGAAATACAAAAATGATCTCAGGTGAATTCTCCTCAAAGTCCCTCTTTTAAAGGAATCTTTTAGAGGCTGGTCTCTTTATAAAAACTTCTTTTGTTTTTTTCTTGTCTGTTTTCTTAATATAAATACATCATTCTTGGTTAAACTTTAGAAATTTAATTCCTATAAAAGATTTTCCTTATCCTACTAATTAAATAGGACCCTCAATGTAACAAATTTGAACTATTTTAAGTAAAGGTGGAAACGTATTTTAAGGTTTGTCCATTTGTGGCTACAAGGGTTGAAATTAAAATGTAAATACAATCCCCAAGTCATTGCCTTTGGCAGTTGGCAGAGTTAACAAAATTACTGAGAACCCTGTAATTATCTATAAAAATTATGGCACAAACATAAATGCTAAATTTTGAAAGAATGTCTAAGACAATAGTTGAATTTATATATAAACATATATATATATATAAACTATAATAAATTTATTGTTAAATATTACTATAGTTTAAGGAAAACTGCCTGTGGAAAGTTGTAAAATGAATCTATGTAAACACATTATATCATTTGTAGTCCTCAATGTTAAACTTATTGACCTAAAAGCACAACTCACATAATAATTATATGAAGTTCCATGTAATAGTCACCCAAATTTCTTATACATCCTACTGTTCTATTTGAAATATAGTGTTCTATTTGACAGATAAGTAAATCAGCTTCTATAAATTTCAAAATTTCTAAAATGCTAATTGGAATTTTGTTCTGCTATAAAGAAATACTCTTCATTTATATTAATACTATATCTTTATGTTTGTAAACACAGCCTAGACTTCTATGGAAATGAAATAAGTTAGATTAAGTTAAATGCTAGTGAAGAGACAAATACATAAAAATCATCATAAAATTATGCATCACTGTTACCATAATCTTTTATATATATATTTTTTAAATTTATGCATATAAGAACTGGGGTGTAGGCCAGAGATGTGGAGGGTGAGAGGGTTCACCAGAGACAATGGAGAGCAGAACAT